CCTAGCATTACTGACTGTTTGCATACCAATCCCATCGAGGGAACCAACTAAAGGAATTACACTGTTACTGCTCACAAGAATCTGCCTCTTTTCATCTGCATTAAGGAGATAAGCGGCATAAATGTTTGGTGACTTATTTTCCATCTCCAGGTGATAATTATAAAAAATGCATGGCGCTAGTTGCATGTAGGAAAAAACACTTTTATAAATATTTTTGTACTAAAAACGATCAATAATACTGTATAACATACTCCCACACATAATGTGTGTATGAAATTGTACAAATGGAATAAAAAAATGCAAAACTTCTTTCTAATTAATCACTTAGCTCATAGGTATTACGTCGTCGTCGTCGTCACCCCAGTGCCGCAAAGGCTCCCATTTATGGAGGGGTAAGGGGGGGGGTCGGGTGTACGCAGTCTTACCCATGTACTAAATTACGGAGAGACTGTTTCCGGATGACCAATAGTGAAATTCACGTCGAAAATTGCATGAACTAACTACTGCTTCGTAACAAAGAAGCGCGAACAGTTTAGTGAGTCATTGTGCTTTATGCCATCATATTCATAAGCCAAAAAATATTGAGTCTTTGGCTCTATTGCAAATGATGAAAACTCATAGGTATTACATAAATCATAAATGTATAAAATGAAAAATGTTTGCAATTGGGGCAGGGCCAAACCTACATGTGAGGCAAAGAGGCAATTGCCTCAGGCCCACGATTTTTGGAAAAAAATTAGGGCCCAAAAATATATGATTTTCCTTTATATATATACCCATAATTAGTAGGCCCAATTTGAATTTGCAACTTCCCGAATTCCAACTTCAAGCTTTGAAGAGTTCTCCAATCTAGAAGAGTCGGAGACGTTAATTCATTCCTTTCCAGAATATAATCTCATTATTCTAGGTAAGTAATTAAGTATAAATGTTTTTAATGATTATTTTTTTATGGTGCTTAAGGGCCTTATTATACTATTCGACTCAGACCAAAAAAATCCTAGGATCGGCCCTGAATTGGGGCCTAGTTGCGGGAGGTAGTTAGTAGATTATTTGACATACATATCTAAGGTTACAGAGATTTGAATATATATAAAATGTTCCAAGCGCCTGACTAGTGGGATGAACAACTTTTGGACCAAATAAACAAAAAATGGTGTGCCAGCTGTGGTTGGAGCACCAGGTTGATTCGAAGAACAGAAACTCCAAGGATAGTGAATGCATGGAGGAGTTGATATTACCTTCCATACGTGGACCAGCTATCTCTACGACAACATTAGTTTCTTCTGCAGCGCTTTCTAAATTGAAACTGATGCCTCGTTTACACGACATCGATTGGTGTTTCGATTTTCCGGAAGTACCATTTTTCTTTCTTTCCTTAGCTGAAGGCATAGGAGTTTGAGGATTTAAAGCTGAAGAGTCAGGCATCTTTCTTGATCTAATAGCTGAACCAGGTGGCTTCACGGGACTGTTTTCTGTAGTACGTTTCCTCTTTTCTCCTTCCCTTTTAGGATTAGATCGTGGAGTCCTTCTGGGTTTGCTCTCATCAAAAATCTTGGGTCTGTGTTTTTTTATTTTAACATGTTGTTTCCGCTTCTTCCTGAACCCCTCTTCTTTCTCTGCTGGAGTTGGAGGAGTAATAACCCTCTTTTTATCTGCACAGCATTGTGACAGGTAAAATAATAGCATCAACACCAACCGTGAATAGCAAAATACCAGTTCAGAATAACAAATCTAAACAGAATTTTATGAGAAAATAGGTAATTTGGGTTTACAAATTTTCAGACTCTGCGGAATATAAACCCAAAACAATGCATAAAGTATAGAATTCCGAAAATTTGAAAATTATGTAAATTTTCGAATCTCAAACAAACACCAACTGCGAATAATAATACCTCCAATGCAGTGAGGAACCTGCGGCGGCAAATCAAGAGCTGCATCAGGGCTGGTCTTTGGAGCAACTTGATCTCTTCCAGAATTGATTATCCTTGAATCTCTGTCTCCCCAACTTGTCTCCATCTGTTGATACACGGATGAGTGTCTCTGATTTCTTCGGTGGTTCGTCGCTGGGATTGGGGCGAATTCCGAAATCAATCAAAGAGATTTGCACCTTGTGAACTGGGGTTTTTGCAAGAGTTCTATGGAGTCCATGACTCCAGTAGAATCAGGTTGCTGGGGATGGCAGCTTATGTGGCGCATAATGGGACTGGGATGCAAATAATAACTCACGTCACGGTGAGCCCATTCAATCAATTCAGTTAAGTTTAAATTCCAATAGAACTTGAGTTGACTACTTGACTCGTCTTAAATGAAAGTCAAGCACGGATTTGATGACCAAATTATATCCTAGTATGTTTTTATCATAGTATTTGTGACACCAGAAAGGTATAAAACAATAAAATATAATACGGAGTATAAGATTTTGAGTTACTCATCTTATTAGGTTGACCTTTTCAGTTTCAGACCAGATCAAAATTGGGCAGTTATAAAATACATAAAGATCAGACTAGACCAGACTAGACCAGACCAGATCAATTCAGACCAAACCAGATTAGACCAGATCAGCAAAGACATAAATTCAGCCTTTTAGCGTTAATTGAGTACATCCCCAAGATTAGAACGTTAATATGGCTTAGTTGGCTAACATGAAACTAATATGGAAAATGAAGTCATCATTTTGATTTTAATTAGAACCACATCATCATATTATGTCAATATTAAGCCACACCTAGCCCAAGAGAGGATTAGAGGACGGTCAATTTTCAATTCCTTGATATTGATCGACTAAAACTTGCAAGTGTACAAGTATCGATGTAGTAATAAAAAACGGTAAAAATACTGAGTCGAATACAAGGAAATGTTGTTTATATGATTCAAAGTTGGAAATATTTGAGTTTTTTTCCTAATTAATGCTAATTAATTAATTATTTACGGAAATAATGCTGGAAAAAAAGTATTTACCAAAATACTGCTGGACCTTAACCGTGGTCAGGACAAAGTCGCCCAACCGTTGGGCGACTTATAAGTCGCCAAACCGTTTGGCGACTTATAAGTCGCCCAACGGTTGGGCGACTTTGCCCTGAAATATGGTTTCAAGCGAGCAGCTACTGCCAGCCACGCACGATCGTGCCTATTTCCTTAGGCACGATCGTGCCTATTACCTAAAACACCAAATCAGCTTGTTTTTCGCCCCGGTTCAATCCAGACCGATCTGTTTGCTACAAATAAGGTCTCCTTTCTCCTTTTGAAGTGTTACAAAGTAGATACAACACATGATAATCACCTACTCTCAACAACATAAAAAACACCTTATAAGCAGCGCTAAAAAACTTTCAAATCATAACCGGTATAACACAGTTCAATCATCATATATGCCATAACAAATAATCATGTAATATTCATACTCGAACACATCAATACAACATAGAATACTTAACAAGAGAAAATACATCAAAACTTGTAAATTGTTCCTACAACATCTGTTGCATAAGAAAAACTACAATACAAAAGACAAACTACAAGTTCCCATCATCAGCTTCGTCAAGGAGATGTTGCTGCTCATGTCTACGCCTACGGCGTTGTCGTGGTTGAAGAACCACTCTCTCATGTTGCGTCTGGGATGATGAAGCCGCGGCTGCACTAGACGTGGATGCCATCTCCTGAGATGCGGGCATGTGTATAAGATGTCCGTAGTCTACTCGACCCAACACATCTGAGCATAACGAGGCAATGCCTGTCAGAGTCTGTCCATACATGTCCACATCAGGAATATCAGTCACAGTGGCAGTAGCCCGCTGATGTATGCGCTGCAAAGCTCGGGTCTGCAATACGAAACACAATTACAATTACATTCAAATACATACAAGTATTACATAAATAAAATGACTTACTTTACTAATTAGTAATATACTCACCGTAAGATGCAATGCCAATGAGCTAGGCTGATAATGATGAGTAGGGAGTCTGAACGAAGGAGACACAAACAACCGAGTGATGCTGTAGTACCATCCCATGTAATCTCCTGAAACTGATGGCACATATGTGGGTGTCCCAGCCACGGCTAGCTCAGCTCTCCTATCCCACATAGTCACGTATCGGACATGTCTGAGTGCCCAATCCTCTGTATGCTTCCCACGCCTATCCAGCTTATGCAGCTCTACATAAGTGTCGATAGGACGTGGAATGACCTGCTCAAACCCAAACTGTCGCATGACTCTATCAGGCAAATGAAGCTCAACAATGTCAAAACATATCAGCGGCACACGTGCTCGCCATATGTGAGTCTGCTCTCGTCCAGCTGGGGGCAACTCTGCTAACATATCAGGTCTATACGGCATCCATGTGATCTGTTTCGTAAACATACAAAATTAGTATTTATTCTACACCTATTCTAGTTACTGTTATACTACACACACCATACCTGGTCCTCTGACATCCGATCCAATGCATCCCTGTACACACCGAGGCCAGTAGCGGATGACATGCGAGATAAACCAGCATATAGCCACCTAACCATTAATGTTACAATATCAATAATATGGATTTTATTAATGCATTTACATTCAACAAAAACTAACACAAATACAAACGACTGAAAACATACCGACGGCCTAGAGGGTCCACGCCCCGTACATGATGTGGTCCTAGCAGACGTGGAGGCTCATCAGGCAGTGGCTGTCCATCAATGCCATGATATCCAACTATAATGGGACGGCCAATGTGGATATACTCCCATGACCAAATCTGGAGGAGTAGCAAAAATCCCCCCAGCTCTGTGCTCCCTCTCTGGCACCCGCGACACAGCTGCCTGTAGAGATAAGCCAGGGTGGCACTACCCCAGCTAAACTGTGCTGCTACATCAAACCTCTCCAGCAAAGGCAGGTGTAGCACCTGAACCTCATTTCCGCTCTTGTCAGCGAAAATGGAGGCTCCCATCATCATCAATATATACGCCCGAGCATGCTGCTGGATGATCATCTCATCAGCGTCGGGAGGAAGGGCCTGGAAGTGCTCCCTCAACCATGGCATCCTAAGAGATGACCCCTGAAGGTCAGCCCTAAGAACGGGGCGGATGCCTAACAACCTCTCACACTCATCCACCCACTGTCGACAAGCAGTGCCTGTAACAGCTCTCCCATCAACCTCTAACCCAGTCAGTACAGCCACATCTCCCAATGTCACGGTGACCTCACCAACAGGGAGGTGAAATGAATGTGTCTCCTGCCTCCAACGCTCAAGTAGAGCAGTGAGGAGGGCTCTATCTAAAGGCACAGTAGCCACTAACCTGTGCAGTGTAAAAAAACCTGCTGCACGAACATATGCTAGGACTCTGGGGTCGACATGTAAATGGGACAAACCCCGCAGATGCTCGCGGCACCTATCAACCTGCACATCCATGCCAAGCCAAACATCCTCACTCCTGTGTGAGGCCTGCAGTGTCAGGACAGAAGGATCACTCGGCCCAGGATCCGCTATCACCTCCATGCCTACAAACAAAATTTGTATTAGTTCTAATTGTATTAGTTGTAATTGTATAATGTATTACATTTTTTTTAACTTCCTTTTTTGAATTTATTAATTTTCCTTGCAAGGAAATAATGAATTATGATTGACTCTAAATATACACATACCCGGCGGACCCCCCCTCTTGTCTAGATGATCTCTTTGCACATGTCGCTCTATTATGGCCGGTTTGGTGGCATCTTCCACATCTAACCGTTCCTCGTGGGCCTTCATCCATCTCATTCTTAATACGGGTCGACTTTGGTCTTCCCTTTGCCCGAAGCATGGATGGATCGTGCACGATTTCGGGTCCATTGTAATTTGGCCAATAATCACGATCAGGAATCGGTTTGAACACCCTATGATACGTGGCGGCGTATTGGTCAGAAGAGAAGAACTTATCCACAAATGGAGCATAAGACAAACTACGTTGTCTACACACGGCTAATACATGGGAGCAAGGAATCTTGTATATCTCCATCTTTTTGCAAGTGCACGTTTTCCGTTGTAGATGGATAGTTTGTTTTCTCCCACCCTTTCCCAACGTTCTGCCACCACAACCGGTCTCCACCTGAAATATACCTCGCCCTAAATCAAAAGGAGTGACAATGTGATGCTTTGCCTTCTCTCTATTTTTTTCAATTAAATCTGTGATGTATGGGGAGTACTCGTGGCCTTGTGTGAGCCTCAACTTACTAGTTTCACGCCTATTCACAAAGTACGCATTAACCCGGTAAAAAGACACCTGGACCAAGGCTGTAATGGGCAAATATCTAGCATTTTTCATGACGCTATTGAAAACCTCAGCCAGATTTGAAGTGATGGTACCGTATCTGTACCCGCCATCATGGTGCAGCGACCACATTTCTGGAGGAATGTTGGCCAAAAATTGTCGTGCATCCCTACTCATTTCACCTATCTTCTTGAACCCACCATCAAATTTTTTTTTCTGATGTTGCCGTGCGGTCCACACAAATAGATTTTTTAAATGAATATCTTTGAAATGAGTGTGCACATTTGAAGCAAGATGACGGATGCATAGCCTATGATGCGCATAAGGCTCCTCCCAATTACTTCCAACCTCATTCATTGCCCTAACAATACCTCCATGTCTATCTGAAATGACACACAACTCCCTGTTAGTCACAAAATGCCTAATACATGCCATAAACCATGGCCAACTGTCTCCATTCTCGGATTCAACAACTGCAAAGGCGACTGGGAAAATTTGGTTGTTCGCATCACAACCCATGGCCACGAGCAATGTGCCCTTGTACTTTCCATACATGTGTGTGCCATCAATAGTAAGTACGGGTCGACAATGCTTAAAACCAGATATTGATGCCTTGAATGCCCAAAAAACTCTTTGAAACATCATATAACCTGTCGCACCATTGGGGGGTGGGTACCACTGAACAACAGTTCCTGGATTAGAATGTTGGAGCGCTGTCATGAAACGGGGCAATTCGAAATATGACTTTTCCCAACCGCCAAATATTTGTGCTATGGCCTTTTGCTTCCCCATCCATGTTCTCCGGTAAGATACCGTATACCCATATTTTTCCTTCAACATCTCGATGATAGTATGCACTTTAAGAGAAGGATCAGTGCGAATAATGTCAACCACATCTTTACAGATGAATTCTGATGTCAAGGCCACGTGATCTGTAGTGTCGATGTTGCCTACACAAGAAGCAGAATGAGGTCCAGAATAACGCACAATTGTGAAGGTATCAAGGTTGCCTTTGTTCTTTGTGGCGCGTATTCTCCAGGGGCATTGACATTCTTTCTTCCTTTTGCATTGTGCCACCCATTTGTGTTTGTCGGACTCTATCACCCGATAGAATTGGTTCCGTTTGATAGAATACAAGCTCACCATATTGATGACTTGTTCTTTGTTGTCAAACTGTTGACCGACCTCAAACTCACCATCGGGGGTAAACCTTTTCTCACCTGATCCACTCATCCACGCATCAGTAAAACCTTCAGGGAGATCATACATTCTAGTGAAGTGGCTAGACGGGGCAGTTGATGTCACAGTATCACCATCATCTTCATCAGATTCTGTCATGTCGTCACCATTGATGTTCTCGTCTGCATCATCATCACTTCCCTGCCCATCCACAAATGATGCACCGTTGTGCAAATACATGCCATCCTCCTGTATAACCATGTCTAGTACAGGAACCTTTGACGACTTCCCTGCATTCACCCCTGCAATGACATCATGCCTAGATACACCAGCATTTGATGTCGATTGAGTAGCATTAGCGTCAAAGCATTCCTCAATGTATACCTCCAGCGACGACATATCCTCCATCTGAATTATGCCCCACATATTTGTTATAGCTAGCTCATCAATGAGCGGCATAAGCATGTACTTTCCCCCGTTCATGGGAAATTTCATTTTCAACCGCAATGAACGGCCGGGATGAATCATTGTCGCTGCATGTATTTTTTGAAGGATCTCGACCATGCAAGCGCCACGAGAAACCATGACAAAGCTCGTTCTGCCACCTTCATGGCATATTTGCCCACCATTCTCATAATAGTTCCCTCCCCAATGACACACGAGTGGGAAGCTTGAGAAATCCATCTTCTAATAACAACTCATTGTCCAACATTCATGAGTAGGCATCAATATACACACTTTATACACATTCACATTTTTAATAGAAATTGCTTCCAAAATTGTAATATATCATTAACTCCAAATTCACAAACAATTCACATTTCAATAACAAACTACCCAAATTTTGATATCTACATTCAATGTCTACCTTTGAATACCCAAATTTAGGTACATTCAACTATACCCAAATGCTCAAATGTCAAAATACACATTACAATTTACAAACAATTTAAAATCATATTTCAACATTTCATACATATTCACATTTCACAACAACTTCATTCACAATCAATTCATAATCCCAAAATTAAAAAAAAAATTAACATTCTAAACCCTAAGTGCAAAATTATATGAAATGGATTTGGATTTACCTAGAATAAGGAGTAAAGAGTGTTGAAGATGAAGATGGAGGGTTGCCGGAGTGGAGTCGCCGGAGATGGAGGAGCGCCGGAGTTGGAGATGGCGGTTCGTCCGTCTTCTTCTTCGTCCGTCGCAGCAGCTACTTCAGTTGGGGAGGCTTCTGTGAAGTGTTCTGTTTGGGGTGAGACCCGGTTTTTACTTAAGGGAAAGTCGCCCAACGGTTGGGCGACTTATAAGTCGCCAAACGGTTTGGCGACTTATAAGTCGCCCAACCGTTGGGCGACTTACCCCCGACCATGGTTAACCCAGCAGTATTTTGGTAAATACTTTTAACCCAACCCTATTTTCGTAATTAATTAATTAATTAACATTAATACGGAAAAAAACTCGAAATATTTTAGTAAAAGACTTGGTGAAAGAGTATATATTTTTGATTTTCAAGAGATAATAAAAGCAACTAAGGCCAAATACCTTGTGGTCTGATGACATCGTTGATGATCTCCTAAGGAAGAGGTCGCAGGTTCGAGTCACATCTCAATCAAGGATGTTAGCATTAACATGAGCACATACTATAATAGGTTTAGAAGAATGTTCCAAAAAACAATAGGGTTCGGGATTACTCCTAAACGACTCCTAACGATGAATATATGTTCTTCCACCAATTCTTATGAGTGGAATGTCACTAAAGTATTATAACTCCTGTTACGGCAGCGAAATTGTGATTAACTCTACGTGTAAATCCCATAACGGTTCACACTTCACATTCATCTAAAGTTAACCCCATTGAAGATTGGGACATTATAAAAACCATCATATTCAATTGAGGTATATTTATATCCACAATTAGAATATGTTTAACCTTTAAGTGCACGGTTTATAACACAATGTTAATTGTTCAAATAAACCCAACCATATAATCATATGTTGTACACCGTAGTCATACACATTAAAATATAAAGGAAAGATCATAATAATTTGGTTGAGAACGTACATCAAACGCCTAGAGTGTGTAAAGTTTTATCCCTAACCTTGGCTATGGAAAATTAGCTAGAACAATTCATAATGAAAATACAAGTATTGAAATGATAAGACACAATGAAATACATAAGAGAATGATACCACAACTCCAAAGCTATGGTGGACAATTGCTTCCCCAATTGAAGAACTTCTCCCAAGACCAAGGGTTTGCTCCTGAGATGCTAAAATGGAAGTATATTGAGTAGAATATGATTGGTGATGTTTTAATCTCGCATGGGCGAAAGCCAGGCGGCGTTTGCCTTTTAAAAGATCCTCGCTCCAGGAGACAAACGTCGGCCCCTTTTCACCAAAAGTCGGGCGGCTTTTGGTTTGATTTTTCGAAAGTAATTCTACGGCGCCGAACACTAGGCACCTCTGACAAAAGTCGGGCGACTTTTGTGAGCTTTGTGTAATTTTGTTGATTTCGTTTGTTCCTCGGGATGAGTTTGGTTGACCTTTTTCCATCGGGATTCTTCGTGTGTATTCTATCATCCTCGTATTTGGTTCAATCGTTGATTAGAGTATTTTTAGCAAAATGAGGCATATGTGTGAGAATTTCATTCTTTTAAGCATAAAAGCGTTTATAAATGATTGTATAAAACACACTAATAAAACGCTTATCAGATATATTCTTTGAAAGACATTGGCATAGCAATCGTCAAAGCACCGATTCTTCCCATAATTCTGAATTTCGTCACCGCTTCTTCACCATCTCAGAATCGCCCTAAAGTGATCGTAGGCATGAATGCAAGAATTGGTACAATGACCCTTCTCGAGGGTGCGGCGGACCGTTCCAAGGTCGTCCTCTGTAAAGGGGGTAATCCGACAACGGATGCGCCAATAGAGGTGTTTTCGATAGGCTAGGTCACAGAAGAAGGGATTTAATGCGCAATGTGTTTGCCAGAGCTGGAATTAGGGGGAGACAAAGAGATATGCCTTGTATTTGCGGTATCATCCAGATTACTTTAATATGTGGTTGAGAATCAATGAGTCTGAGGTCCATATGCAGGTTCAAGTCTTCAAGATGCCCGAAGAAGTTGAGGATCGAGACGGCAACCCAAAGTTGTTGTCGGGCAAGGTGAATGTGGTGTGTGTTAGACTCCGGCAATTGCCACATAAATATTTTCAACTTCAAATTCAAAACTTTACATGACTAAATGATCATGTTTATGTCCTTGTGAAAATCATATACTCCGTAAAATATAATGTATTTCTTACTCAGTGGCTCTGTGTTTACAAGTTAACTTAGGACGTGTTTACTTCGCTGCTAAAACTACAGTAAGGTTAGTAAAACTGGTAAAATAAACACACGGGCGGCTTAAAAGGTTGCTTACTATCCCAAACACGTGCTTAAAGTGTTGCTTACTTAGCATACCACCATCCATGAATTAATTAACCGGTGGTTTAAGTTTTTTCAATTTCCACATTTACTCCTACTCTTACATTGCGCCCTTATCGTTACCCTTATCCATACCCTACCCCCTACATTGTACTTATAACACGTACCCCACCCCAACCTACCCCTTGTAC